ACTGAAATGTAGTTAAATTGTTATGCCAATTGAGTTCGGCAGGATGCATAAAGGAATAGTATTTTTTATATATGAAATATTCGATATTTCAGTTTAAAGTTAATCTTCATATAATTCGATTGATCTTCTGATATTTCACGGATATTAAATGCTTGATTAAAAATGCTTTATCAAAAGTTTCATCTTAACCTGTAGGAATACATAGACTAATTGAGGTACACAACAAAGCCAATTCATATAATTCATTCAACAAATTACTCGGAATCAATAGTTTCGATAATTTTACATGCAGGGTAACCCCATATTGGGTCAAGGAAATGTTGAATGGTTCAGATAAGTTTTCAATACTATTAGGTTCACGTACAATACTTACGTATTACTGTTTTATTTATAGGTAAAAAAAGTTCTCAGTATTAAAATATGTTTGAGATATATTGTAAAACTTGTTTTCGGGTACTTTTCTCTCTCCTAGATATTTTTATGTTTTTATTGTTTATTTAGGTATTTGTTTAGTAGTTCTAGGTTTTCTAATAAGTATGTAATATAAAATTAGTTTTATTGCTTTAAGAACTATTATAATAATAATAACTATTATTTTGTACTATTATCTACACACCCACAAAAAGGATACAACAACCCTTTTTGTGGCTATTTTTACATTTATTACGTTATTGTATTTTTAATTTGTTAGCAGTATTGGCCAAGTGGCTTCAGCGTGCGGCTCTTATCCCTGAGGTCGTAACGGCGTGCGTCCGCGTCAGGCACAGAAGGCTGAACACCTACTTGCCCATTAGAGATCATGAAACAGATACAGCAATCTGAGGCCCAGACCTAAAAAGGTTGTAGCGCCAGTGTTTATTTTTTGTATTTTTAATTTATTAATGGATATGTATAGAGGTCCTAAATACATTAATGATAGTAATAGAAAAGAAAATTACCAATGAAACAAATTGAAAAATGTAATTAGAATTCAGAACTGGCTTACATAAATACACAGTTATTTTTTATTTTTATTGCAGTTTGAACAGAGATTACCAGAATTCGTATGTGGACGCACAGGCTGTCCGTCGTATTCTGGGGGGAGTAAAACTGCGCATACCCAGTTATTTTTTTTTTTATTGATTAGATTGTTAATTGACATTCATTAGCGTACATAATATAAATGATACAACAGTAACATTAACATTATACTTGTAATAGTATATACATAATTACGTTTTTTAAAATGGAACATATATCAGTGAAACAATATTATTTATACTTCACATATTATGCAGAAATGTCCGGGCATTCGTCTGAGGTCTTAATAGCAAAACAAAATCAGAACATTTATTTTAGGAAACATAATTCTTAACAGTCTATAAACTTACGTTTATAAACCGAAGGAGTTTGTTTACAACTTGTCCAATTTACGACTACGAATTGACGCGTATAGTACGATTTATTGCCAAACGAATGTTTAAAAACAACTATTGTCTATGGTAAAGAAAATTATTTTTGTATTTAAAATTGAAGTTATGTTAAGTCATAGCTCATAGAAACTTAAAAAGCTTTTGTAAACATAATTTCAATGTATTGTCTAAGCCGAAGAGAGTACTAAAAGTATATTATGCATAAGAATGTCATGTGGAAGGCGATTAAAAAGAGTGGCGGAGAATTTATTGCCAGTTCTTCTCTTCCGTTCTACGCCCTTGATTTGAGAACTGGCAGTCAATGTAATATTAGAAGCATTTAATGTATAATAAATAAATTCTTTAAATTTAAATTTTGTAAATTCTTTTTTTATGTTCATATGTGTAAATTGTGTTACCTACATGAATAAATGACATATAAAAGCCCGGCGACACACTCGCGAACCTTCTGGCATTGAGTGTCCCTTGCCGGCGGTATCAACTAAAATCAGGTGAGCCTCCTGCTCGTTCTATAAAAACAAAATAAGGGTAAGATTCAGTCGAAACTTAACTCTAAGTCTGATTCCTGTTCGTCGTAATTGTATTGAATTTTGTCAACTTGACACTGGCTCTAAGGCTGGTGAAAATTATATTGGATATGACATAATGAGTTTAATTCTTGGCGCTAAGTGGCGACTCTGAGGGTAAGATTCACATTAAAGTACATAACCTTATAGTATTTTTTTCGAATTCTCGTAATCAACTTTTGCAGAATACGAAATTCCAACCGTATCACCTCGATGTCCGTCGTTCCACAACTGAGCGTTTTTGCCGCGCATTACCCTATATGAAACCAGCTACCCACTAAAGTATTTCCGAACCAATTTGACTTAAGGTCCTTCAAGAAAAGAGCGTACCAATTCTAAAAAAGTATGTTCTATAAAAAAAACAAAATTAACTGATACCAATGTATTGCAGTATTTTGTTTGCTGCAGGCAATCGTAGATTTATTGGGGCTGAAGGAGCCAATCAACGCTAAACGAACTGTGAATCCATGACCCATATAGAAATTCAATATTTTACCGATAGCTTACTATATTATATTCACTATACATTTCAAACATATGAACTGCGCTGAAAAACTTAAAATCTTGTGAGTGGTTTCGATCTCGAGGCAAACGAAAAAAAAGTTGCCAACATACGAAACCAGTCTAGCGCACTTTAAGATGTTGTCACTGGAGAATCGCAGAAAATTAATTGATGTATCGTTTGCAATTAAGATACTTAACAATCAGGTAGATTGCCCCAACCGTTTAACAAGATTTAACCGTTTTCGTGTACCCAGTAGATATCCCAGACATCCCATCATTCCATTTGTCCCTCCTTTCCCGAGAACGCGTTTTGGCCAAAATTCACCGATGTCCAGATTGAGCATTCTGTTAAACGAGCTGGGTCTGGATATCCATAGTTGCTCCCCTCACACTTTAAGAGCGATTTTCGTTTAATTTTTATATAAATTATACTATTGTTTTGCTTAATTTCTTTTTATTATTTCTTATATGCTATGTTTGTCTATAAGTGCTTGTCACATTAAAAATTGTATTTTATTTTTCTTTTATCAATGTATCAGTGTGCCGAGCGTTGGCAAGCTTTTATAAGTAAAATAAACGGAAGAATTTACCGAAGGCAACGTCTTACAAGCTCACAGTGGACTTTACTAATGTTAGGGCTCAATTCTAACTTCAACTCGATTCACTTTCATCTAGAAACTGAGGAGCCGGCCTTATTCCTCCTTACCGAGGGTCAGATATCCTCCCCGGCGGATACCTATCCTATCCGGGGTACAAATTGGAATAATCATTTGTGCCGCGGGCGAGAGTTGCGTGTACGTCATGGATGATGCCTGTTCTCGTCGCCTCGGGGCGCTTGTAGGCGAAGATTCATTAAAGTACTTAAACTTATAGTATGTTGTTCGAATTCTCGTAACCCAACTCAACTACCAACTTTTTCAGAATACGAAATTCAACCCGTATCACCTCGATGTCCGTCGTTCCACAATTGAGAAATTTTTAAGGCAGTTTTTGCCGCGCGCCACCCCTTTGTGGAACGAGCTTCCCACTGAAGTATTTCCGAACCAATTCGACATAGGGTGCTTCAAGAAAAGAGCCTACCAATTCTTAAAATGCCGGCAACGCACTCGCGAGCCCTCTGGCATTGAGAGTGTCCATGGGCGGCGGTATCACTTAACTTATCAGGTGAGCCTACTCCCGTTTGCCCCGTTCTATGAAAAAACCATTAAACCGATTTCAAAAAATATTTGAAATTATTATGTGAAAAGTTATGTTACTTATAGGCTTTATTTATTTCCAAAATATAATAAAATATCCAGCGGTACCGAAAGAGGCCGTTAGTATAAGTAAGTGTTGTTTATTCTCTGCTTTAGGTAGGTGAGGACCTAACCGAATGATCACTCCTCGTGTTGGGTAAGGTAAAATTCATATGATAACTTTTAATAATAAAACAATAGTATTTTTTTATATAGGATCCTACACGACTATTTTCTAACGTCAATTTTAACAACGTGTTTTAGTACGAGTGTTCTGACAATATCAAGCCAACAGGCCTATTATGTTTGGCCTACAACCTCTTTAGGTCTTGGCCTCAGATTTCTGAATCTGTTTCATGATCATTTTTTAAATCTAATAGGCTCGATCAGCCTCCAGTGCCTGACACACGCCGTCGACTTTTTGGGTCTAAGACATGTCGGTTTCCTCACGATGCTTTCCTTCACCGTTCGAGCAAATGTGAAATGCGCACATAGAAAGAAAGTCCATTGGTGAACAGCCGGGGATCGAACCTACGACCTCAGGTATGAGATTCGCACGCTGAAGCCACTAGGCCAACACTGCTCATGTTCTAAAACTTAATCTTCCCTTAAATATGTACTCTACTTCGATGTTCCAACTTAATTAATCGGTGTTGTGGATAAGATTAAAAGCGTTTAAAAATTAAAAGGTTAAATCTTGTTTAAAGGAATTTGAACGAATAAAACCAAATTGTCGTTTATAAAGTTCATTTCTTTATTTTGTATTAACGGCGTACTAATCTTCATTACCCGTGTCACAGCCACTTACAATCTCGACTGAAAAAGAAATTCAAGGTTAAATAATGTAATGAGTTTTATTATTTAGGAGAATTTAGTTCTTGGAAAACAAGAGAAATATTTTAGTAGAGAAATACAAAGTTCAAATCCCTAATCTGGAAAAACCTGTAATTCAAACAGTCTTGCAAAATTAAAGAACAAGTATAATATATAAATTAGATCAACTCGTAAAACATAAAATCTATTTAAGAACTTTCTTAAATTAATTATTACCTAATAGAAAATGAATTGGTAATTCGTAAATTATTTTTCGTGTGCACTGTCTACATAAATCTTTAGTTATATTAACAACATCATTTACATTCATCGTACCATTTACATCCATCATATAATCATTTACAGATGTAAACTAGAACCTTTAATTTCTGAATTACATTACTTACGAAACATATTGCCTGTCAGTACAGTTACTAGTTTCACAGAACAGATGTAAAAATCTACATTTTTCATACCTCGGTTCCTCTATGTATGGCGAGCACCATGTCATAGTCATTAGCTCGTAATGAGATCCGGGCTCGGCCATTATTGCCCACAGTTATAGTTTTTCCAGTACAGCCGTTATTGCTTTTTACACCAGATATAACATCGCAATATCTACCAGCAGGAAGGCAGGTCTGAAATTTAAATAACAATTAATATGTTTATCAAACAATCCATATCGCTTTCGCAATGTATATATTAGAGAGAGAAATTGTACAGCCAGAATTAAATGAAGAAAAGGCAGTGGCTCTAATATTTGAAGTTATACTTTCGATAACCAGCTTTCCAAGAATGGATATTTCTATCTATAAGCGGAATTAATACTTTCTCATACTGTGCAGGATTCTCTAACGGGTCTAAGTCGAAAAACGGCTGCGTGTTTCAGGTACAGAAGGCTGATGACTTTTTCCCATTCTATGCGTGAATAATATCATAAAAATTAATGGATAATAATATATTAAACTAACCTGTAAGTCAGCGTTGAGATCCCAGTGATCATTGTTGAAAGCCACAAAGCCCTGACCGCCTCGACAGAAGGCAATCTGGTTGCTACCATTGTCCCACCAGTCATTAAGAGCGGTGTTCCCAGCGACGTTCCTAAACGCTACCATTTGGTAGATTTGACGCCAACGGTGTTCGCATACCCACCCATTACCGCAACTGTTGTCCTACAACGGTAATTATAAAAATTGACGGCTCATTGCTCTAGTGGTTAGTACCCCTGACTGCGAATCCAAGGGTCCCGGGTTCGATCCCCGGCTGAGACAAACATCGATGTGATGTGCATTTGGTGTTGTGCTTAGGTCTTGGGTGTTTAAATATATATTTATATGTGTGAGGTCTATCTATGTATGTATAATGTATATCCGTTGCCTAGTACCCATAACACAAGCTTCACCAGCTTAGCATGGGACTAGGTCAATTGGTGTGAATTGTCCAATCATAAAAAAATATATATAAAATGTTATTAAAACCTCTTTAGTACAACTACCACTACTTAAGCCTTCATTTATTTAAGGTATTGCGGAATATGCTTAAGAGGAGTATCAATAATATGAATAAAGCTAAAATGCATCATGAGCACAGCTCACACACATCTTCACTTTCACGCCATCACGCAACACTGCCGGTTTCGGTATTACTTATTTAAGTGTATATAAAAAAAAATTGAAATTGCTTTTCGTAATTTTTTTTTACTTTTTTGTTTATGTATGGTACTATAGCTGTTTTTTGTTATTTACAATTTATGCTAGCTGTAGGATTGTGAAATAAATAAATGGATTGAAACAGCGAGAGATCAGACCGCTGTACTCTTAAAAGAAATGTAAAATCAAATAATTATTAGAATTACGAAAAACATTGTTATATGAGCAGCGCCTCGTTGGGTTCTTATTGAACTTATTGAAAGCACTAACGTGGGTTGTTCCTGGACAACGTGCGACCGTGCGATCTTTTAAAATCTAATTACCCTATTGACATCTGTGAATATTTGTATTTTTGTATTGTGGATTCCTAGACTTTTATGTAATAGACTAGACAAACTGGGTGTTTCCGGTTTAACTAACTGTTACAACAAAAACATCTCCAAACTGATTTGAGAAAATTAATTTGAATCTATTTTATCGTAAATTAATTCTTGAATTTTTTACATAATTGATTTGAATTTGTAATTTTAATTATTTGCATAAATAGTGTATGAAAGAAAATGCTAAATCTAACGTGAGCTAGTCTTGAATGAGCTTTAATTTATATTAATGTTAAGCATACTAGAAGCACTGTTCTATCTTAATTAAGCTACATATATACCGAAATATGATTAAGTTACAGCAACATTACACATACTGCCAAGAGGCTAGCATTTAACCTTTAAAAGCTCCACAAGAACTAAAATCGATTACTGGACCGAAACCATTTTGACCACTGAGTTGATGTCGGACGAAATGCCCATAAAGACAAAGACTGTTGCACAAAACCAAATTGGTCCAGGCGTTATTGAGTTATGCGCTTACCAACACATTTTGCGATTCATTTTTATATTATAGACCGAATCAAGAAATTCCGTAACGAAATAAACCTAACACACGATGACGTAATATAGGTGCGGCCAATACGCGTTAGAGCGGGACAGAACGCATACTGCGTCTCACATCGGTTTAGCGTGATCGGATAGGCGTGTTAGTCTGAGTCTGGTAGAGTGGTAGATTGAATTTATATCAAAGAAAAAACTTGAATTAATATTAAAGAAAAAAAAATACTGCAAAAAATAAATAAATAATTATATTGCATAAGTTTATAAAAAAATGCTATGCAATAGCTTTACCGCGGCAGATTCCGAGTGCCACACGTATTTTTTTTTAATGTTTGTTTTGATTAATATTTGTATCTAGCCTTTAAGTGCTTGTCACATTAAAAATTGTATTTTGTGGTTGTTTTACCAATGTATCAGTGTGCCGAGCGTTGGCAAGCTTTTTATCAATAAAAAAAAAAGACGCAAGATCAATGCTTGCAATTCAAAAGATTACGGGTAATACATATCACATACCGAATTAATAGACGGCGAGATGATATTTCCCCTCGAGTCCATTGGAGGTCCAGCCTCTGTATTATGGAAGCTGAAGCTACTCATCAGTTGAGATTTTCCATAAGGATGAGCTAACATAAAGGCAATAGCGCCCTTGTACTGTTTCGCCTGCTTGTATGTCAAGATTTGACCACCAGCACCGTGACCTCTTTGGTTGTCGTGATTATCGATGAAGGCCAGAGCGTCATTTGAACTTAGGAGACCCCAGTTTTCACCCCAGTTTGCTAACCAGCTGCAATAGAAATGTAATTTAATAAAAATTTAATTCAGCTCGCATTAAGACAGATAAAAAATAGTAAAGTACTTAGATATCGTATCTACAACTTTTCATATACTAGGAGTTTTTACAAAGTTGCAATATGGTTTATACTTTACAATAAATTGCCTAAAGTGGTTGTCTGGAAGAGACCGCCCGAAAGAGATAAGGCCGCCAGGACCTTTTCATTTAATTATTTCAATAGTATTATGTTTATAGATTACACCAAAGCTTTTGACAGCATCAAACATGAAGTGATATGGAAAAGCTTAGAAAACCAAGGAGTATTCGGGGCCTATATAAACATCATAAAACAAATATATGCTAACTGCAATGCAAGAATACAAATGGAAACACTCGGAAAGACATTTAAAATCGAAAGAGGTATCAGACAAGGGGACCCATTATCTCCCAAGCTATTTTCTGCTGTGCTTGAAAACATATTCCGAAAACTAGAATGGAATGAATTTGGACTAAATATAGATGGGACAAAACTACATCATCTTCGATTTGCAGACGACATTGTATTGTTCGAAGAGAACCCTCATAAGCTTGAAGAAATGATACAAGACTTAAACAAAGAAAGTGAGAAAGTAGGCCTGAAAATGAACACAAGCAAAACAAAGCTACTATCAAATTCAATCCCATACTAAATAAAACTTAATAATCAACCTCTAGAATATGTTGAAGAGTACATTTATCTGGGGCAAATTATATCTCTAGCTGATATAACCACCAAAGAGATCAAAAGAAGAATAGCAAATGGATGGAAAAGATTTTGGTCACTGAGGGAGATCATGAAAACAACAGATTTCAGCATAAAAATTAAGAGAAAAGTCTTTAACACATGTATCCTACCCTGCCTTACCTATGGCTGCGAAACTTGGGCACTATCTAACCAGCACAGGGATATGCTAGCACACTGCCAAAGAGCCATGGAAAGAAGCATGCTGAGCATAAGAAAATTAGATAAACAAATAAACTCAGACATAAGAGCTAGAACAGGTGTGACAGACATTCTCACTAAGATTGACCAAATGAAATGGAGATGGACGGGTCATATGCTACGGAGCTCTCATGAAAAATGGAGCAAAATTGTGACGGAATGGTACCCTAGAGACGGAAAACGAAGAAGAGGTCGACCACGCAAGAGATGGGAGGACGAACTGAAACTAACAGCAGGCTACAACTGGAGAAGAGTCGCAAAAGATAGAGAACAGTGGAAAGGGTTAGAGGAGGCCTTTGCCAAGAGGCAAACCGAACTCCGAGATATACTGGAGTGAAAATATATTAAAGTTCAGATATATAAAATGACAGAATTTCGGAATTTAAAGGCTATATTATTATTATTATTTATATGTTTCTGCTACGAAGTGTTAATAAATAAATTTGGATTCACATTTACTTTCAGACGATTAATATCTATATACCAAAAAGTTTGCCAGCTTCCACACTTTTAAGAACTGAACTTTACTTTAGGTAGGTTCCTACAGAACATACAATAATTTAAAACTTAGTTTTATTTGACTTCTTATCCATAATACCATTTATTTATAACACAGTTTGCAAGATTACGACGATAAAAAATAATTAACATTTATTTTAAATGCAATTTACATTTACTGCCAGTAATCAAATCAAGACGGGAAGAACTAGAAAAACACTTTACAATATTTTTAACCAAAGTTTTTGTTGTAGAAAATCTCTTAAAGAAGTTGCAACTGTTACACCATGATTCCCATGTTATCGTGAATTAATTATAATCATTTAAAAAACAACAACAGATTATCAGCACTATCATAGATAAAAGTGCGCGCTAGCACATTTTCTATTGCGTAATAAATAACAATTATGACAATAAGACATTCCATATCCGCAACTCTAAGATAACAGCTATCAATTGAAAATAATAAGTATTTTTTTAAATTACCTACTTAAAAGTTTAACAATGGCCAAAGCTCACCTAAGCTGGTTTCCACGCGAAAAAGCTCTGCTAAGTTCCAATCCAAATCTGAATTCAGTAACCGCGGCTAGCGCTGTGTACTCATTTCTGCTGATAGCCTCCCCACCGAGGTCAATGACCTCTTGGAAAATGTATGGTCGAGCGCCATTTGGAAAGCCATGGCTTGGGTTCAAATTGTGAAGTCTGCTGTACATTACTCTGAGGTCATGTGGCCACATATGTTTGGCAGCGTCAATTCTGAAATTAGTATTTATTTGATGCACACATAAATTATTAGGTCAATAAATTACTTTTGAGCATTAATAAAATTTTAATTATATGTTACTTTTAGTAATGCTTTTAAAATAGATGCTATTAAAATTATAAATCCTTTTCGATGTTTAGCTTGCCAGCCACTGAACACTAGGTATATATAAATTTGATATATAATACACACAGTATTCAAATGTATATGTACCTAATATGTATCAGAAGTCTGTATAGTATACAAGATTTTTGATACTATAATATGTAAGTCAAAGTCAAAATCATATAGGTAACACAATGTAAACTTATGAACGTCAAAAAAGAAATACAAATTAAATGCTGCTAATTTTACATTTACTGCCAGTTCTCAAATCAAGGGCGTAGAACGGAAGAGAACAACTGGCAATAAACTCTCCGCCACTCTCTTTAATAGCCAAGTTTTTTGTTTTAGACAATGTTTGTAAGGTGCATTAGCAAGCTGCACTAGATAAATATATGAATCTGAGAACATTAAAATTTGCGGATCTAAGCCCTACACATAACACTTATACTTAGGGTACATACAAGTCGTGAATATAAAATGTATAAATGCAGGTGTCGGCTCCAAGAGACCTATGGTTACAGACGGATACGGGTAGGATCAGAGGTACAAGGTGGTGAGATTTTCTTAAATCTATTGGACTGGCTCACCACAATAATTAAGGACTTGAAGAAGTCTTTGCTACTTTGAGAGAATACGGTGTTTACAAAGCCAATATTAATGTCAAAGTTACGTTGTTCTTACGAGTACAGAGGAAAAAAGTCAATTTTGTAAGATTTTTTTTACCTGAAACCAGCAACTCCCATATCAATGAGTCTGTTCATGTATTCTACAATTTTTCCTCGAACGTACTCAGAGCCCTGATTCAAATCCTTTAGACCAGATAATTCGCAGTTACGGACCTAAAATATTATTTAAAACAATATAAAGAACAATATCAATTTGCCTATACATACATACATATATAGATGGCTTCATTTTTTTAAATATGTAACAGGAAGCAATCGGACAGGAGGCTCATCTGATATTAAGTGATACCGCCGCACATAGACACACACACTGCCAGAGAGCTCGCAAGTGCGTTGCCGGCATGTTAAAAATTGGTACGCTCTTTTCTTAAAGGACCCTAAGTCGAATTGGTTCGGAAATACATCGGTGGGTATCCACATAGTGGTGCGCGGCAAAAACTGCCAAAAAAACGCTCAGTTGTGGAATTTCGTATTCTGACCCGATGTCCGATGACATCAAAAACTTTAAGTTACAATAAAAATTGAAAGTCTTTGTATTAATTACATTATTAACAAAACTGGATTAAAACGGGTCGGCTACGCAACCACATTTGGATGTATCTGCCGCAGCTTAGGTCTGCGACACCCCGTCAAGTGCTCGAAAAGTAGGGTTACATAAATAAAAGTATATTCGCATTAAATCAAGTACTTACCCTGTCCGCACAGCAAGTGTAATCATTCCCCTGGATAACACAATGCGGTGAATTAAAGTCGTTTCTACCGTAGGGCACAGATGGATACGACCATCTGTTAAAGAAGGCTTCACTCCCACCTGTACCGACGTTTTCGCCCCATGTACCTGTCATGTGGTTAATGATGGCATCCACGTAGATTCTAAAAATAAATAAGGTAAATAAACGTTTAAATAAAAAAGTATTTGGTACGAAGTAAGTTATTTAAACACTCAACCAACTATAATGTTTCATGATAATTTGTTAATCTAATAGGCAAGTAGGTGATCAGCTTCCTATAACTGACGTACGTCGACTTTTTGGGTCTAAGGCAAGCTAAGTTTCCTCACGATGTTTCCCTTCACCGTTCGAGCGAATGTTTAACGCGCATATAGAAAGAAAGTCCATTGGTGGGATGGGGATCAAACCTACGACCTCAGGGATGAGAGTCGCACGCTGAAGCCACTAGGCCATCACTGCTCCCAAGCGTTAATATTTTTTTTATTTGAAAAAATATAAAGGAAAAGTCCATACGAGACTGGGACAGTCCGCGAGATACTAGTCTTTTTTGTAAAGCGTTTCAATGCAAACTATTATTATATAATCATTATGTTACATACATATTTGTTTTTACATACCTGACACCAGCATTATTACATCTTCGGACCATATTAGCGAATTGTTGCTCGTTTCCAGAGCGTGTTACAAGACGATATGAGATAGGTTGGTATCGCTCCCACCATGGACGATTATGGGACCAAATAATCAAGTTTTCATTTGGTGGTGAGATCTTTAATAAAAAAAAATTATGTAACATACCCATTAGGGTGGGTCAAGTATGTATGAAGAAAGAAAAAAGTTTGGTTTTTATAGGAGCACAGTGACTAAAAGGTGCTAAATGGTGACTGTAAATAGAATACGGAGTTTGATAGCATTCGGAATTAATCTTCTGCCTCCGGAGTCATGTGAAAATTAAAGAAATATAGTAAAAAAGGGCCATTGCATATTGATAAGCAAAGATCTTTTGTTTTTAATATAAAGACCGAAAATCATAAGAATCTTTTGTTTATTAATAGAAGAATATTAAAATAGAGTAATAACTATTCTCATTAGCTAAATTATTATTTAATTGAAATGTTTAGGTGCCGTTAAAATCCTTCTTGCTGTCGAATTTTCGCATCGCTTTCCTTCAATCTAGCTGGGCGTCTATGAATCCCTCTTTTATTGCTGGTCTAACATGAGCTGAACTTTCAAAATTCGACGTGCAGCTAATTCGCGAATTTTCCGCTAGGGTCTGTTAACAATTCAAGCATTTTCTGGGTGCTTCAATAACAGCCTTCAATGCTGTTGGTGCATATTGCGTTTACTCAATAAGTTTATAGAAAGGCCTCGATCCATCATTACAGCTTGAAAGAGTTTTTATGGAAAACCATATCGGCGCGTAAAACTTAACAGCTTACGTTGCAAGAGTGCTCCATTCATCACATTCGTTTAAAGTGATTTTCAGAAAGAGTCTCTACTTTAGCATACAGATGCAAAATCTTATTGTCTCGTTGGTTAACCACGGGGCATGAGACATTATGCCTGGTGATTTGTTCGCTAAATTGCTGGGAAATGTGCCTGTTGAAACTGCTTCGACTATTCTGTACAAGTAGTTCTGGTCTGTACTAACAGAAAGCTCCAGTAGGTTCGTAGGAATAGCAGTAAACTGAGTTATCGAAATCTGTGAGAGGGCTCACAGAATTTAAGCTGCTTACTAATTCCTCTGAAAATGTTTTGGGCTAGACGTACTGCCGTCAATATGTTGAAATAACTAATTTTGTCATATGTTTTGTTGTGTCGACATCTATACTACCTTACCATTTTTCTCGCGGATCATCGATCTACTATGAAGCTGTGTTTTCTTGCAGGTACTTTTTACCCCAAAAAGGGGCAAATCTCGACACTTGCAAGTCGAGACGTCATTCCATGACGAAAAACTTCGATCTTAAATCTAGGTTTTTTGGGTGAGATTCTAGCATATTTTTGCATTTTAAATGATATGATTCCAGCATTTCCTTCATTTTTAAACTGTAGGAATAGAAGATTTCGCTCATATTTCTATTACTTTTGCAATCACACTACCCTCAATTTCTTTATCTCCCGAATTTTAGCTTGTGTCGGTTTCACCCATACAAATTCATCACATATTCATATGTGGGCAATATTATGTTGTCTTTCAAATCATATAGACTACCAAATAACGGATAATTCCAACATCATTTCGTACGTTTCATTCTTAATAATTCGTTAAAAAGTGACTTTCACTTAATTACGTGATGCGTGCAGACATAGAGAGTCTTTGCTATAAGTCGTGCGTTTCTTGTCAAATCTAACACCACACCACACTGGTACCAACCCCTCTTTACACTTTTGTCCTCGAACTAAACAAAACAAAAGATGTTAACAATTCTTTTTAAAAACAAATAAGCGCTAATAAAGATTTAAATAAAGTGAAGAAAAAATCTCAACATGGGCTCAAAAATTTAAATTTTTAATAAATTCTATCTCAATCCGGAGGCAGTAAAATTTAAAATAATTATATTTCAACTTTACGTATCAATCATTTACGCCATTTAGCACCTTTTTGACGCTGTGCCTGTACGAATAACTAGATTTAAATTTTTTGGCCCACCCTAATACCCATACCTATTGACACATTGCCAGAAGGCTCGCAAGTGCGTTGCCGGCCTTTAGACGCGAATTGCAAAGGTCTCTGGTTTTGAAATCGGTTAAAAAAGTACACTTATGTTTAAGTGAGAGAAGAGTATATGATAAAAATAAATATATAAAATATGATTAATTTTTTAGTTTAGTGCATTAGTTTTATGAATTTGTATGATGGTTTCATTTAGGGCAATTCATTTGAAGCGACTTTGAGAAATTTGAAGAAAAAATTCATTATTTATTCTACCTCGGAGTTATCTTCATGATTGAAGAATCGAATCATTATTATAATTTTATTTATTTAACATGTACAAGGATAATTGTTTCAACCCATTACAAATATCTCGTAAAATAAAACGTGCGAAGGACTAGTTCGTCTTGTACGCCACTGATTTAATATCTAGAATTTAAATATTAACGTAATTTTATTTTAATTTGACGGTCGTAAGTGTACTAAATGAATAATATACTTCGACTTTTGAATCGGTTTCGAAATGGTCTCATACAACAAAGGGTTGTGTACATACTAAAATGTCTCGTGAAATTCACACTACAGCGACGTATACCTCTGAAACAATTAGCGTTTCAATTATGTATTTATAGCTAATACTAGTGATCCCCGACTTAAAGCAACCGTGACCCGTTAACCTTTAAATATTAAATAATTTTAGACATTTGTGAAAGTCGATTGAACTACTGAAAAAATATTTTCGTTCGACCGTTTTTTCTCCAACTACAACATAAATGTCATTTCTTTTGTGTAGTTAATAAATTCTAAGACATTTCCCCCTACCACCTCACAAACTTTACCACTTTGTAATTATATCTAACATAATTAGTACAACTCTAGAAAGTTCGCAATACAAATTTTGCAATATTAATATTTGCGTAACACGAAGTTTGCTTAGATGAGTAAAGAAATACGGTTGAATAATTGACTTAAGAAGGTTTAGGCCCCAGATTAATTTACATCGTAAACAACAGAAGTTCGCTCTTAAATAAATGTCGGTACCTATATATCTGTTGTCTAAAATATTGTGTAGAACATCACCGTGACTGCTTAAGATGGAAAATCCGACAAAGTTTTGGGAAAGTTATTTTTTTAAATATTGGAAACAGTATATTCTTTCCATATTCAAATGAAACAATTATGCTTTATTAATCACACTTTGATATGTATTTAATTACAAGTAAAAAGCCTTAGCATTTCTATGGATTCTTAAAGTCAAAAAGCTCGCGCAACATGAAAAAAACTCATGTGTGCTATTCACACGTGGGAGAAGTGAAACTATGTTTTTGTAATTCAGAAAATGATCAAATACACACTTATTAAAGTTTATACACTGCACAATACTTCCCATCTCATTCTCTACCATGCCAAATCCTGCTAATTTATGCGTGTCTATTTTTCTGTAGCTCTTTCCGTTGCATCCGGTTTGAAATAACAACAATTCTAAAGAAGTTACACTTCAAAAATAAAAAAGTTGAATAATGTTATAATTGAATGTTGTTATAAATGACGGAAAACCTTTTTGATAATTTTATCTTTTTTATTTTACTGCATCTGGCCAGTAACACGATTTAAAGTATAAAATCCATGACGTCACGTACCTGAACACCACCAAAACCTCGTGGACCTAAGAATCTCTCGCATTCAGCTGCGATGTCATCCCACTTCCATTCAAATAGGTGAACCATTGTCGTTCTACCAGATGCATAGTGGGGGTTTTTATATGCTACCGCTGCTACCACGGCACAAGCCAGTAGGATGAACCGCAGCATTTTGATGACTGAAAAGAAATTACTTTGTTTTAGTAAAGTTGTCATTTGTTTTTATTCGTCCTGGCAGTAACGACCTATCTACATGTAAGACTTTATATCTACAAAGACTGGATGGTATTAGTTTGATTCCATGGAAAATGGGCCGGGTGCTGGTATGGGATGCAACCTGTTCAGACACACTGGCCCCTTCCCATCTACATGGAACCAACAACAGATCTGGTGCGGCTTGTGATGTGGCTGAAATAGTTAAAGCCTGCAAATCGGGGTCTAGGCTCCGAATATGATTTTGTCCCATTCGGTATAGAGACCCTTGGTCCGTGGGGTCCTAGCGCTATAAGGCTTTTAAGGAAATATCAAAAAGGTTAGTCGACATCACAGGAGACCGAAGAGCTGGCAGCTACCTCGGACAAAGAATTAGTCTAGCGATTCAAAGGGGAACGCTGCCAGTATCTTCGGAACCTTGCCTAAAGGGACTCCGTTTAATAATATATTTTGGTTATTATATTTTAAGGTTAGTTATTTTTTTTATTGTTCTTCTGTTTTGTGCATTTGTTTGTTGGAAATAAATTGTATATTCTTGGTGCAACATTTATCGACCTTAACTCATTTGGATTAAAAATATCAGGAATAATGTAGATAAGATTAGGATATATGATAATATGCAACAAAAACAACAACATATAAATCCTGAAGTAGGTTATGTGAAAACGTTGTTGTGTTTCCAAAAAGACCTGCCAGTTAGAAGTGTTAGATAAGTGGTACCGCCGCCCATAGACACTCATTGCCAGAAGGCTTGCAAGTGTGTTCCCGGCCTTTTAAGAAATGATACGCTCTTTCCAGTACCCTAAGTCAAATTGGTTTGGACAAACTTCAGTGGGCAGCTGGTTCGACATAGTGGGGTTGCGCGGCAAAAACTGCCTTAAAAAACGCTCAGTTGTGGAACGACGGAAGTCGAGGTGATACATGCGGAATTCCGTATTCTGCCTCGATGTCCGACGATAAAACTGGTATGGTTTTAATTAGGTAAATTAATCAGGTATTCATTTAAACAACTTCTCTGAACACTCTCCATGGTAAATGCGATACGATTTCAATACCAATAAATATTACATAACAACGCAATACCATCGTAGGCATGAAAAAACTATTATATAAGGATTTAAAATACTAACGATAATGTTCCATATTTCAATTAATATGAGTTAATATCTGTACAATAACTTGTACACCTTTTTATTTACTTCGATACCAGTAAATATTACGTTACTCCACACTTGAAATACGACCCACATCTATAGAATAATATTTGTTGTAGTAAATACTAGTTTGTATCTATACAATAGTTATAAGTCGAATTAATGTATCTATATAGGTTATATTAATATCATGGTAGTGAATTCGATAATGTTACTATAAACAATGAAATCAACTAAGTACGAGTATAAGTAGTGATAAGGCCATCATACATGTCGTTTAACGTAAGGAATGGACTATTTATTTATTAACTAAGTATTTATTTTATGATATATGGGTACATTTGTACATCCAGAAAGTATGCGCGTACTAAACATGGAATGAATTAAAAAATAATATTAAAACTTTTCCATACCTGAACCCTTCCTGTACTACGTATTATCTTCGACCACCCGCCGCCGATATTCTTTATATAGATTTTCTATAATCAATAAAAACAATCTCAATTTATATATTATCTAGTAATCCGTGATAACTAATTATTACGACAAATAAAAATATGTATGTATTCGCTTATCAAAACAACTGCAATAGTTTGCATACATTAATGTACTAAGTAATTTGTTTACGCAGTTAGGGAAAATGCGACACATTTATGACACTATTAAGGTCAATAATAACTGATTAACTAGTACTATCTTCAAATAATATTAAATTTATTTTATATTTAGTCAAAAGATATCGGAATTTAGATTTAGTGCCACAAATCGAGAACGAACGAGAACTGGCAAGAACTCTTTGTTTTAATCTAGAACATTCATTACAAGATGTGATTGTTTACTTCTGTGAGTAGTTGTAAGGGTAATAAGATACTTCCATATTATCCGGAAGATTTTAACCCTTCAAAAAGGTTAAATAATTCATAATAAAAATTACCTAAATAGGTGCAGTAATAAAATTAAGCATTCATTCGTTTGTCGAGGTAGGTAAATGCCATTGAAGTCCTATGATGCTGATTTATAGATATCAGTGCCGTGTAAATAATATACAGTCAGTGTAATAATATACGGCATGTCATAGCGAAGATCAGTTTTCGATAAAATCTAAGTCAATTAAAACTGATTGATGAATATCTAGTCTAGGTTTACTCAGATAAAGTCAGACAATTTGTAAGTCAAGCCTAACCCAATATTATTTTATTCGTGTTAGTTGTACTGACTTGTGACCTATTTTAAGTTTTATTTATTTAGGAAACAAAAATGATACATCTCTATATAAAAAAAGTAAAAAATAAAATTAACACATTGGATAAACAACAAGATTCACTGATTTTTGTCTATCTATTTATAATCTTAATATTAGTATCTTACAAAGCAAAATATGACAGCAGAACGTTAGAAAATACAACACAAAATCTATAAATCAGCACAACGACAAACTACTAATAGATATAATAAAGAAGAAACAAGGCTTAGGACAATAATAGCAACTATTATTGTTGTATGTAACAACTGTTGTTTTAACTTATTCTTAAATGAGGCAGTAGAGGAATGCCAAAAAAGGTCGATATTAGTGGCAGAATCCAACGTAGAACATTCTGTGAAGAGGCTAAAGGTTCTGTGCGAGCGTAGAGATCTGGCAAGAACATTGAATGGTGTTCTTAGATAAGTATTTACTGAAACGATATTCTTGTACTTGTTATATTAATAAAATGATATGTGTATCAAAAACCCTTCAGTTTATGGTATGCCTAATAAGTGGACAGTAATTATTAAGTTTCGTTATATAAAACTAATCTTTATAAATTACTCAAAGTTATTCGAGCTGTGTTTCCTTCTCTAAGATTTAACTGAATACCAGGTACCAGTACCGTGACTTTTGAACATTTTTGATAAAGTTCTTTCAAAACCGGATACGGGTGATGTCGCATCCTTAAAACCGCCCGGTACATGACATCAAGTTTTAAGTCAACATCGCAAACGTTTTTGGAAGTCCTTTTTTATATTTTCCTTGGAGGTATTAACTTATGTAGGTTCATAAGTAAATAGCATTTGTGACTAGTATGATTAAGCAATACTTATTTCTGTTAACAACTTCTTGTATTATTACATTTACAGCAATTTTTGTCTCTTAAGCTACTGTTCAACATTATTTCTTTGTCTCTGTTAGGTTAATTCCCATAATTTATTCAGTGTTGACCTGTGTTACCTGCCGTAGCGTATTGGAAGTACTGTAACTAACGATATTTACCTGTTAATCTCACCATATTCTCAAACAAGTTCTTGACAGTATCTATGGTTTTATCTTGTAGTCAACGCTAATCATTTAAATCAATGCATATAGCACTGATTGTGATTAGCGTCAAGTATTTTCCAGTCCATTCTGTTGCTATGTAATTATTTATCAGTATAAACGCGTTCGAGCTTATTTTTGTTAGAAAATCTAGTATACTGAGGGCGCACTAATTACTAGTTGATAGTTCGTGATAATTGTACTTACTCAACTTAGGGATTTTGCGTCTCTTCTTTTACACGCATAGATCTCTGATCGCCCCGCTTTGAGTGCGTTGATTGAAATTGCGTCCCTGATCGTTATCTTAATTTTTTTTTTATATTCATGATACCTTTAGATATGAATTATTTTAAGTTATCCGCTGCTGTTTTATAACTGCACGAGGTGGTTATACTGTACGGCGATTTTAATGAAATTGAATACGCTTCTTTTAATAATGAAATAATTTTTTTACCGGATTGAAGTTATGTATTTACAATAAAAAATAAAAAAATTGTTTTATTATTAAATCTGTGGAATTTGTGTCAATAAAAGACAATACTATAGGTACGCTTCTTTTGTTTTTTTGATATGGGAGCGTTCCAAGTATTACGTAACCAATTTTGGGGAGGGGGTCCTTTTGTAAAACGTTACGATGCGGGGCGGGGATTGAATTATGCGTTATTGTTAATATTATTTTCGATTTTCCAGTACTTTACACCACATACTGGTAACTTCTAGGTATAAAGAGTCACTGGGTGATCACGAAACATTTTACTATACTTGGGTACAGAAAATCGTTACGGTGCGTTACATGGGGGGAAGGTCAATAATCTCCAAAAATTGCGTGACGTAATACTTAAACGCTCCCTATACTCTTAAGATATGAGACTAATGGGATAACATATTTTTAAAACTCAAAATTGAAACACATATTTTTCAAAACTTTATTATATAAAATATTTTACAACATACAAGTACCTTTGGACTCATCGGCATACTTAAGTCTAAAAACTCCACAACGATAGTAATACTACCGTGCCTGAGAGGCAAGAACTTGTGCCCACAAGATGGCGCTCCTTCAGATTTTTGCCGCGAAAAGTTCCTTGTATGGGTAAAAACCACGAAATAAACAAGTATGGAAAAGTTTTAGTAGCGCGCAAGCAAGCGGACCGTGTTATAACACAATGATATTTTATATATAAAATATATAATAAAAAGCCCTTCCACCCGACTTATTTCGTGGTATAAACAGCACTTATACTATGACTGAATTATAATTAGGGGAATTGCACCGCATCCCATACCTCTTAAAATATGCCTATATTATGCAGACTTATGTATCTCTTAGAATTACAATGAACACAGATAGTGCGGAAAGAGAACTAGTGTAGCGGTAACGAAATCTAATCTATCTCCGCGCTGTTTTATCTATTCACAAAGAAAAAAATGTGAGCCGTCACGGGACGCCTGGCAGATGTGAAACATCGACATTATTTTGTAAAAGTAATATGCAGAAAAGAACAGATTGTGATAGGAACTAAATATATCATAATGATAAAATATTACGATTTTTTTCCAGATAACGATGACTATTTATTCAATAAACATTTATTTTCATTAAATACAAAAATTTACGAATTTATTTCAAATCGTGACTACTTAATTAAAGCGGTACAGTACAGCAGTTTCCAACCCCGTTCTCTCTTTCCCCACTTTCTTAAGTAATTTAAATAATCAGTGTTGCAATCAAATTCAATGTTCTTATAATAATTAATAAGTAAAATAGATAATATTATCCAATTTATCAGGCGGTGTGATAATTAGTGTAATTAATAATTAAATATATTCAAAATATTCATGTTAATCAGCTGCAAATATATAAGTAAAATAACATAAGTTATTAGTTAATTTTGTAGGCGGTTAAATAGATGTGTATTTAAAATTAATTATTGTTGTACCAGTAGAATTTACTGCACTGCTGCATTCGTTGTTGCATTAATGGCGCGTCTAAACGGGCCATGTTTTGCTGCAATTGATGGCTGCAACACTGTGGCCGGCAACATTGCAAACAATAGCAGCCACACTATGCAATATTGCAGTAATGTCCCGGCCATATAGCCAAACATGTTTTGTATAGCCACATATGGCCGATGTTGCCCCGATAGGTGGCCGGACGATCGCTAGGCTATCGAATTCAACTGCAATATTGCACGGCCAGTTCTCTTGTTGTTTCAGTCACTCTCTTTGTTATGGCATAGTGTATCCTTTTCTACGCGACATGACGTTTGCTTTGAGTGAAGTATGCCTGTTGCTTTATTCTGTGTTTTGCGATCAGCTGTATTTGACGTTAGATTACTACGTAAAAATGACTACTTTTAACATTCTAGTTCTTGAATAATTTATTATCAAGACTTATTTCTAGACTCAAATTGTCTACAGTTTCACGCCTATTTAAGTAAGGTCAAATCCACAATCTCTTCTTTTTCTGTTTCTTTTTTAAAACAATATAAGCTGCTGCGACAAGTGTGATTTCGTCAGCCATTGTTGCCGGTTTGTGTAGCCCGTTTAGGAGTCTGCATCATGGGCCATACTATTGCAACACATTGCCCAGCCATAGATTGTTCGGGCATCAGCTGCATTAAAATATTTTTGTAATGGCCGGGCAATTAGTGGCCAACAGTGCAGCCATCAATTGCAGCAAAACATGGCCCGTTTAGACGCGCCATTAGATATACAGAAAGTTTACTTTAGCCGTCGAATTCACTGCTTTAAACTGAAGTTGAAGTTTTATTAATAGCCTTGATAAGGCACCGTTCTTCCTGATGTAGCTAAAACTTTGATGAGGAAAGTTGGACGTATGTCGTAGGCGATCAAAAATTTCGGTCCCTTTTTAGTTTTTACGGCTATTTTGTACGTATATTAAATATAACAATCTGTGACTGGGCGTACAGTTTTAGCCTTATTCCTAGTAAGTACATAAAATCCTTAGTGTTTAAGTGTAGCTTAGTAGTTAAGCCGATTCGGAACCAGGAGATACTATCTATTGTTACTTGTATTAGCAGAACTAGATTTTATATTAAAGCTTTATGAAAACGGTAAGTAACAATGCCAATTCCAAATCTAGTCTATTCTTTTGACTATATGAGTGTAATTGCAGTATAACTAAATTAATATTTCGTCTCCTGTCAAATTGTGATTACTCTAAGATGGAAAGAGATAGAAGTACTTTAGTTAAAACGCTGTAATTAGCTTTTTGAAAGGGTCTAGAAATGAAATAGTTTAATTTCATTTAAATTTTGACAATCGCAATTTATAATTAAAAATACGGTTAAGTATCAGTAAGTTAAGTAATAATAAATTTTGTGACACTAAAAAGTAATCTTTGAAACATATAAAACTTACATTTATTTTTTGTTTATTTAGTTATAAAGCCCACAACATCACACACAGTCATAAGTCCACCAACTATTTCACAAAATCCCACATCTAAAATGTGTGACAGTTAATGCAAGCATAAGTTTCTCAGTAAAAAAATCAAATAGAAATTAAAACTTACATTACATTTTGTTTGACATTATTGACAGTTGACAGTGACATTTGGTATGACATAAGTGACATATTGGAATATGAACACATGGACTTACTGCTAATTATTAGCGGTAATTAATAATGGTTCTAATTATTAAGATAATTGACGGTTGCCTTTAATAAAGAAGATCTAATATATGTATATCTTATCTATGAGAGATTCAATTGACTATTCAGTCTTCCAAAATCACTAGAATAGTTTTTAATAATTAAATTTATATATAGACTTGACAATCTTAGTTACTCCAGACTGGGTGCTAAAAATAGTGAATTTGGAGCCGCTGTGAGGTTAGCGGACTGGAACGATCGCTTTATACTAACGTGTGGATATTGACGACGCCATTCTAGTACCTGTAAGAATAATATAAAAAAAATATATAAATAATTCAAAATTATTAGATTTTGCCACTCTTGGCTTATAAAATAAAAGTATCAAACCACTACACACATATCTATTTTATTAGTAAATTTTTTGCACGAATTAAACTTAAGTCAAATTCGTGTATGTACATTGTACACGTTTCTGGGTACGCTCAAGAGTACACGTTTACGTAACTGGTACGTCAAAGCAAGACTGATGACTGATATTTCTTTTTATCTTTCATGTTATAGAGAATATAAACTCATGGTGGGAACACTGTCGAGTTAAGTCTGCGTTAGGAAGCCGAAAAAAACTCTTTAAGGTGTAATTTTTTTAAAGTCGAACTGTATGCATTCGTTATATTAGTTAATTAATTAATATTTTAAGATTTTCAAAAGTGATACAATAAAATAACTAAATAGACAAAGCAACGCCTAGATGGAACAGATATTAGGGTATGCATTCTCACTTAAAACACATACGAATTTATTGTATGTATTAATAATCACAAATTTAATACAATTTCTTTTTTGAACCTTTTACGAATTTCTTAACATTTACGTCGTATGTTATTAGTTTAAATACGGGAGACAAAACGTTTTACCGACGGTAAAAAAATAAGAAATATTTAAAAATAAATATGGCTATATAATGTTTATGTTAAACATTAAACTTACTTGTGCCTCGTGTATTTGATCACAAAAACTAACATCAAGCAATTTCAGCTCTCGACATTCCGCTAATATACTGAAATTAAGAATTACCATATTTTAGGGTGATATTCGTCTAAAAGTAAAAAGTTAACAGAGCAGTATTGACCTAGAGGCTTCAGCCTGCGACTCTCATCCCTGAGTTCGTAAAATTGATCCCCGGCTGTGCACCAATGGACTTTCTTTCTATGTCCGCTATTAACATTCACTCGAGCGGTGAAAGAAAACATCGTAAGGAAACCGGCTTGACTTAGACCCAAAAAGTCGACGGCGTGTGCCAGGCACATGAGGACCTACTAGCTTATTGCATTGACAAATGATCATGATACAGATACAGAAATCTGAGGCCCAGACCTAAAAAGTTAGTAGCGCCACTGTTTTTTTTTTAATATTTAACTTAATTAAGGTTAACACATCGAAGCAGAGATAGCAATTTGTATTTAAATACATACTCGTAAAATGATATATTAATATAATGTTGAAACAATCATGTTAATACCAGTTATGGTACATGCTCTGAGATATGCGTGAGTCCTGCAATTTTTCTTCTTTTACTATTTAACATTTTCCAATGGCAAATAAGTCAGTCTTTCGAGTTTTACGAGTCAAGTGTTAGAAAAACTCACTCAGAACAAATATCAGGTGTTACAGCTCTCACTCCTAACAAATCCAGCTGCGATAGTTTCTTGACTCGCGGCAATAAGGTCCTTAGGTCCCGATCGCAAACTCCACGCAAAGCGCCAAGAAACAGTTTCCGAAGTTCTCCACCAGATAGCGCCGCTAACCATTCGCCTGAACCGCCCGCTTGGAGGCTTTAACAAAAATAATAATTACTAGCTATTCCCCGCGGTTTCATCCATCCCATAGTTTTATACGCAAAACATCCTGGAAATCCAGGAAAATCTACAATTGCGAAAAAAATTCACGAAAACATTTTTTCCGTGCACGCGTTGGTGTTGGCACGTGCAGGAACTAGGACGTTGTAGCGCAAAACTTATATAACAGTTCTATTTATTTAAACGCAAAAAAAATAATTTACATAATTCGAAGTTTCCAGTAGATAAACTGTGCTCCCATCCCCACGGACAAAATATATTATAGAAGATATAGTAACTGAACTGTTACAAAAATTTTGTTTCAAGAAATCTCGAATATTTTTGCGAAAAAGTATTTTGTTCCGGGCACGATGGTGGTTGAAGGTGCTGGAACGAAAACGTAGAGAAAAACGGTGCTGCTGGTCACCTGATAGATAAATGTTAGACATGAATCAAATGAGACAGTATTGTTCCTAAATGAAATTCTAAAAAAACGCTACTACTTATTAATTTGTTCTAATTGGCAAAGGTAATAATGAAACTTACCACCAACCAACATCCAGTTCTTGTAAATGTTTGCAATGGCCAAGTGCCCGAATCCCAACAGCGGTTAAAGAGTAAGACTTCCAAAAGTCCACCGACATAAGGTTCGGGCAATTAGCTCCAAGTGCGATTGCAACTTCATCCATACCAGATATCATTTTGCACGAACCTAGAATATATAAGCTGCATAATGCATAATATTTCGGAAATAAATATACCCTATGTTCTTAGGGTTAATGTAGTATTGTTATAGAAATCTCTTTTTTTCCTATGATTAAAAATTACCGAGTACGTAGAATACGGTACGGTAAAATTGGAAGCAGCAGCCGCGACGTACTTCACGCTGCGAGCAAATTTACGAACAGATGCATGAAACTTTAAAACGCTGTTACTTTGGAGATGTTAGCCCGATTTCGATGGAACAAATCTATTTGCAGCACAAAATGATTTTGCGTGTGTAAAAAATGAAATAACATCAAAATGCTCGCTTAAGGATAGAAACAAGCAATCAATTAGAATCTTTGTTGTCCTGGCGCATGTCTCAATACCGTTTATAGATTCGTCAGAAACTGACTTACGTGTCTATAATGAAAAATTAGTAATCTGACGAGACAAACATATATAACAAAAAAAACCTTAAAAACATTAAACAACAAAAAATATACTTTTCTTATATTTTTAGTAAGGGTACAAAGATGACCAATAATTTGCATACCAACATTAAGATGCTGCAATCCAGGGTTCGCTCGTATTATAGCCACAGCGGCGCTTGTATTTATATGAGTTCTATATAAATCTAATCTTTTTAACTTCGTAAGCGTCACCAGACACGCCCAATCAGAACAGGTAACTACAGAGCGAAGACATAATTCTGAAAAATTACAACAAAACGTATTAAAAGACATATTTTACTTTTAGTTTGTTTGTGTCTGTAATCAGTTTTTTTATTGTTATATTTTCTATATTTTTTTTATTGTTACAATTTTTTCTGTCACCCCAACATAGTATGGGTCTACTGAAAATCAGTGTTGCTGGTGGCAGCAACTTGGCCAAGCTGAATTGGGCCCATTTTTTGATTGCATTTGTAGGTTTTTTTAAATTTCTTTTTTGTGTACGAATTTTCATTTATTTTTAAATGAGACTCAATCGATTCCATAACAGTTCTGTGTTAAAGGCGAATAAATAATTTACAGAACTTAAAGTTTCGAATAGTTAAGTAAAGTGTAGTCCCATCGCCAGGGAGCAAATATATTATATAAGATAATGTGACAGAATTTTTACAATTCTAATTCATGAAACCTCATTTAAACAGCTATATTATCATAACGCACACAATGTACAGCAAAACATATTGATGAATATCTGCTGTAAGAGTATCAATGTTTTAAAAATATTAACGACAATAATGTTATCACGAGTCACGACGAACAAAAATGCCCAGTATAATAATGATAGACCTCAACTATTTAGTAAATTAAGAAAATCTACATTCCAGCTTTATTATAAAGTACAACGGACCTAGTGAGAGGTCTAAGTACGGAAACTGAGTCCACCAACCATACCAACAATGACATTGCAGAGTTTTGACATTTTTTCATGGTTCTCTGGCCTCAGCTAAGAGTAGAATTAGAACACAGTACCGATATTTTATCTACTTGGTTCTTTTATTACTACTACTTTTATACTAGATGCCAGGGTCGCCCGGAATCACGCTGGAAAGACGACATCAGCCTGACTTTGGGACCTTATTGAACCAGAGTCGCAGAGGATAGAACACAATGGAGAGAGCTGGAGGAGGCCTATGCCAAAAGGCACGCCGAATTGCGAGACATAATATAAAATGACACTACATACCCATACCTAATTGTTTACCTTAATCAAGTATATTATGTATCACTTTTCTGGAAATAAAAGGCTTTATTATTATTATTATTATTTCTTTTATAGTTTGTATTTTTCATATTATGGTCGTTTGTATTAACACTGCTTTATTGTATCTACTTGATATCGCTGGTCCCTGTCCACATGTTATAGGGATGGCACCGCTTTTTATATTTTTGTATGTATGTCAATTTATATCATGTGTTTGTCCTAATTTTGTGGTACAGATAAAAAAATACCAGCTTATATATTATATATGTTTAAAAATAAATAGGGCTCAAAATCTTATTTAAATTTTTAAACGTATCACAATTTACAAGACGGTGGCCATTTTTTGTTTCGAGAAGTTTCTGCTTTAAATACATAAAAAAGGTCAAAATGAATACTTATTCTCGGAAATCAATAAATAATATTTAAATAAAACAGTCCCTTGCAGCTGGATGCTCAAAAAATCTATAAATAAATTCATATGAATGATACATGCGAAAATTGAAACCGTCAACAATGGAATTTTCCACACCGTTCTATCAGATGAATTACATTAGCAACTCTTCAGGTATGTTGTCTCTACCCGTATCATATTAAATGAAAGAGATAAAGTTTCATGTATTTTTATTCCTATATTCGTAAACAATTTATGTCAATGTATTCACTACTGTATGAGTGTGAATATATTGGAAAATTATTTAACTAATTTAAATAATGTTATATGAACTCAAATTGCGCAACAAATAAACGCTTAGTTTGTTATTTGTTTCTCAATTCAAAGTAAGAACGATCACTGGGGAGTGATCAATCCGGAATAAGAAGAGATAGGCCACTGGATGGGTGGTCTAATGAATTTTAAAAGGCAGGGGGAGAAATTTGGATAGGAAAAATAGAGGAGGCATTTATTCGTGAAGATTGTCTAGGATAAAGTTATTTTATATTAGTTATTTTTTTATATTGGTCACATTTTGGGACTAAATAGGTTTTTAATAAGTACGCGATTTCTACCCGAATGTCAAAGGTCTTTAGTTTCGTAGGCCAAGACTCATTTTGGGTCGCTGTGCCAGCGGAGTTAGAAAATAAGGGTCATGATATAATGCTAGATTTATATTAAGTGGACAAGGGCGATTCTAAAGCCTTAGTTTCAAGATTCAATAGTACCACTACATTTTTCGCCAGCGAAAAATTACGTCGCATTTTCTTGTAATAAATAAGAAAATTATATTTTGAAATTCCAAAAAAAAAATCATAGTGCCCATGATAGCAGTGAAGTAGGTGCAAGTATACATATTTCACTCTCTTTAAAGAACTATATATATATTATTTAAACTGAAATCTAGTACTGCGGTAATTGTTGAAGCTTTAATCCTTAAATATCTAATTAATATAAATACAATTTATATTTAATTAAGGTTGGAAATAAATAAACAATAACAGGGAAGTTACAAACCTTGCAAATTAGCCGATGTCTCAACAACTGCTCTTAACACGGAGTTGTCGACGAATTTGCAACAGTTCATTCGCAAGTGAGTTAACTCCGCGCCACTGTCCTTCAGAAAACTGTAATATGTAATACAATTAAATATTATTTAATCGATATAATCAGGATTCAAAAAAATTTTCATCATTTGAATGTTCAATAATCCCCAGTGGCGTAACAATAGGGTGGCAGGGCTGGCAAAATGCCACGGGCCCCCGACCCAAGAGGACCCCTGACCAACAGATATTATGTTCTATGGATTAATGTGAAGTTTTTTGAAGAGTCTAGCGTGGGGCCTACAGACCATTCCCTCTCGCCTAAGAGAGGAGGCCTATGGCCATTAGTGGGACATATACAACGCGTGATTGAGTAGGTACGCTGAAATTCTCGAAGTTTATTAAAATTAAACTGAGAAGGGACGATTTTTACTGATAGGGCCCCATCAAAAGAATTGCCACGAAAGAAGATTTGCCACGGGCCCCCGATGGTACCGTTATGCCACTGTGTACCAGTGACTAACTTTAAGATACTTACTCGACAACAAAATGTGGTTGAACCATACAGTGACTTCCGCACCACGACAGGTCAAGTTTTTGAAGAAACTTGCAACGTTTTGACAATGTCATTAACACCTAAAAATATACCAATTTAACAATTATTTAATTTATATAGCAGTGTCAGACTAGTAGCTTTAATGTGCCACTCTCATTCCTGAAGTGGTAGGTTCGAATAGCAGCTGTGCAATGGACTTTCTATGTACACATTAAATATTCGTATCGTAGCGGAAAACATCGTGACGATACCAAATAGTCGTGTGTCAAGCACAGTAGGATGATCACCTAGTTGCCTATTAGAAAAGCAAATGATCAGGAAACAGATCTGAAATATGTAGGCCAGACCTAAAAGTATTATTTTTTTATCAAGTAACAAAAAATCTGTATCGTTCATGCCATAAATATTACATACCTAATATTAACGTTTTGTCTCTATCACTCTCGTGTAGTTATAGGCAGCGGCACGTAAGTCTAGCGCTGACCGATACGTGGAGGGGATTGCTGCGCATGTGTACTGTCGCGCGGGGGACAGAATGCGACTGGAGAGCCAATCGACGCTACGCGCGCCTGCTAGCCCCCTAAGGTACCTTATTTTTTACTTCTGCGCAATAACGGTCAGCGCTAGAGTTTCGTGCCGCTACTTGTACTTATGTTTGATCGCGAAAAAACATTCTGGACTAATTGAATCTTCTAGAACTTTTCTACTATTATAGCATCAAATATAAATTACTAAAAGGAATTTTTCAGATAGTAACAATAAGAGAAAATTCAACAAATACTTATATACAATATAAACAAAAGAATATTAAAAAATATAAGTTTAATTTTTACGATGATTTATGGTAAATTTTACTTAGTAACATATACCTTCCTAACACCGCTATATTAAACACTAATTTGTAAACTATCACCAGCAACAGACTAGTTCACAAGTATGTATATTATTTTAAGCAAAGATTATATTATTACCTGTGACCTAACACAGTGCCAATACGGCCGTAAATCTATACTTCGGTAGAGAATTGCATCAGACGCGAGCCTTCGAAAATGCCTGTTGACTTGTGCGCACCGACAAAGAGATTGCATATCAAGGTACTTCATAACAGTTAGTATGGTTTCATCCTGAAATACAAAATTGCGTCTGTCACTAAATCAATAAAAAAGTATGTTACGCTCTTCCAATAGATGCTTATTGGAAATACCATCTCACAGCTCATCCTTCTTAGGCAATTCGTTTAGGATCTCCGCCATTAAGTTGTGGAATAGGCTGCCCGACTCCATTCGATTGGCTACCACCCTAACATCTTTTGAAACTCTTCTACATAATTATTGCTTCACCATATCCTATCCTGCTCAATCGTGACTTTTTTAATTCTTGTACTTTACTATTCTTTTGTATTGCATCGCAATTCTTGAATCCGTGAGATTAGCTTTTTAGTTTTTTTTGTATTATTTTAGATTAAAGTTCTATAATATTTTTTTTATAAGATTTGGTTATGCGCCTTCTTGCTATTTATCCATTATATTTCTTTTTTTAGTTTTCCCCTTATAATTTTTATGTATTGTTATTTGTTTTGTGTAACGAAGTGTGAATAAATAAAATAAAAATAAGTAAAAGTATATGTTCAACTATTATGTGTACTGGGAGCAGGTAGACCAAGTCGCCTATGCGTTCCTGCACATGCGGTAAAGGCAAACATCGTGAGGAAACCGACACGTCTCATATGTTAGACACAGAAGACTTGATCACCTATAGGTCTATAAAATATAAAGAATAATAATAATAATTCCACCATTTAGGGTTCTAGTGCCACTGGATTATAGGTACCTACTATATCCTCTGAAAGGCCGGCAACGCACTCGCGAGCCCTCTGGCATTGAGTGTCCATGGGCGGCGGTATAAAAAAAAAACAAAGTTAAAAGACATTTTTGTCAGTTAGCTTCAGTGTGCGACTCTCATCCCTGAGGTCTCATCCATGTGCGTATTAAAAGAAAGATCATGACAAATACAGAAATCTAAGGCCCAGACCTAACGCCACTGATTTTATTAGATTTTTATATTAGTACAATTTTATATTCGCAACTGTGTTGTATAATTAATAGTAAAATGTATTGCAGGACAGCGACAATAGACATGTTGTATTCGTCAAAGATTAGGAATCTTAAAACAAAAACGGTTTAATATTTTTTTAATCTTTAATTGACGTTTTTAATTGTTCGTTACATAATAAATACTTAAGACACATAACTTATTTACGACTTAACGAATGGAAAATGCATTATACACTGATATGTATTCGTGTTAAGGATAAGTGACTAAACAAAAGCCTACTTAAAAACAATCCAAGGAAGTTCGCATGCCTCAGAGGTATGTCCTTTGCAGGAATGCATACTAAACAGCATGCATAGACTAGACAAGATGGCAGCATTACTTATAACTATGTATTCTTTTCTATTATTTGAACAATATAGAAATTAAAAACAAGCCTTTCAAATCCTTATTTTTTGTAGATAAAGAAGTTTTACTTTTTATCTATGAATCCGATGTAACTCAAACTCTTTTGAAAAATAAATTTCTTTAAAAAGGAAATTCACGTTCTAAGGTCGATTTCAAATAGGTAATTAAATGAAATTCAATTGTTTGAATGTGAAATTAGAACTCCAGTTATGTACCGGTATTTAATTCACCATTTTCTACGAAAACTAACTCCGTTCACTCCGAATTGCTGCCCAAAACAACATATGGCAAGAGATCACACCCGTTATTAACTATTTACATTTGTATCTTTATTTGATTTTAAAAAAAATTGTCTTTATTGTAACCACTTATTGTTTAGTCTTGTACATCGGTTTATATTATTCTATTTCGATAAACACAGTTGATGACAATAAGAAAAAATTAATCTCTTAAATGACCGTCTCTTGAGGTCATCTTTTATAATTATTGTTATTATCTAGTTGTGATTATGGCAATTAATAGATCACAATTGACAATAATTTGACATTTCCCTAAACATCCTAGCTTTATTGACGTCACCGGGTGTTTTACTGCGATTTTTTTGATACATTAACGGTGTCAAAAAAAACAAAAAGAATTATTTGTCAGATATTTATGACTGGATATAAACAAATCATATTAATAAAATGCAATATTATTAATATGATTTGTTTTAATCAATGTTCAGGGCGTTAACGTGTAGATTTCCATTTAATATTTTTGAAAAAATTTGATATACTAGTAAAATAATTTAAGTAAAAGATAATTTTTCTTTAATTTATATTTAAATTCGCGTTAACCAAAGACAATTTTAACATTAATATTTATTGCAATAATGAACAAAGGTCATTTTATGTGTTATAATTATTTAATATTCCATTGTATTTCGTTTCCCATAGAGATAATAATATCGCGGATGTACTCTTGGTAATAATTAGACGATAATCATTATTAGTCTGTAATGTTTATCATAAAAGCAAAACTAATTAACAATTTATTGTGATTTTCTTGCTCCATCAACTCTAAATACATACTAATAGTACGGGAGGTAGCAACGTTTTCGAGAAAGAATTTCAGGTCAGCTGATTTTGTGATATGTCTTCCTTCTTGCACTTCCGGTTAGAGTCTGGGCAATCTGGCTGGCGGTAGCGGTTGCGTTCATTAGTGCGCATCCTATCTGTCCAGGTAATAATCCTGGATTTTAAAAGCATTTTAAGAAGCGTAATTTTTGATTTTTCCTTTTTAAATACGTCTACCTGACATACTTTTTTTATTGCCAGACATTTTTCACGTTGCTAACTATGTGCCAGACGCGATTTTAAGTTTTATTTTTATAAAAATTTCAAAGCATTTTAGAATGTCTGTAATTTTAATATTATGTTATTTAAATATAAGAAAAACTGAAAATGAATTTGCCAGACATTAATTCGATTGTTAAGTCTTGAATTAAAATGATAAAGTATTGCAGTATGATGAAGCATTGCATTTTAAGAAGCGTAATTTTTGATTTTTCCTTTTTAAATACGTCTACCTGACATACTTTTTTTATTGCCAGACATTTTTCACGTTGCTAACTATGTGCCAGACGCGATTTTAAGTTTTATTTTTATAAAAATTTCAAAGCATTTTAGAATGTCTGTAATTTTAATATTATGTTATTTAAATATAAGAAAAACTGAAAATGAATTTGCCAGACATTAATTCGATTGTTAAGTCTTGAATTAAAATGATAAAGTATTGCAGTATGATGAAGCATTGCATTTTAAGAAGCGTAATTTTTGATTTTTCCTTTTTAAATACGTCTACCTGACATACTTTTTTTATTGCCAGACATTTTTCACGTTGCTAACTATGTGCCAGACGCGATTTTAAGTTTTATTTTTATAAAAATTTCAAAGCATTTTAGAATGTCTGTAATTTTAATATTATGTTATTTAAATATAAGAAAAACTGAAAATGAATTTGCCAGACATTAATTCGATTGTTAAGCCTTGAATTAAAATGATAAAGTATTGCAGTATGATGAAGCATTGCATTTTAAGAAGCGTAATTTTTGATTTTTCCTTTTTAAATACCTCTACCTGACATACTTTTTTTATTGCCAGACATTTTTCACATTGCTAACTATGTGCCAGACGCGATTTTAAGTTTTATTTTTATAAAAATTTCAAAGCATTTTAGAATGTCTGTAATTTTAATATTATGTTATTTAAATATAAGAAAAACTGAAAATGAATTTGCCAGACATTAATTCGATTGTTAAGTCTTGAATTAAAATGATAAAGTATTGCAGTATGATGAAGCATTGCATTTTAAGAAGCGTAATTTTTGATTTTTCCTTTTTAAATACGTCTACCTGACATACTTTTTTTATTGCCAGACATTTTTCACATTGCTAACTATGTGCCAGACGCGATTTTAAATTTTATTTTTATAAAATTTCAAAGCATTTTAGAATGTCTGTAATTTTAATATTATGTTATTTAAATATAAGAAAAACTGAAAATGAATTTGCCAGACATAAATTCGATTGTTAAGTCTTGAATTAAAATGATAAAGTATTGCAGTATGATGAAGCATTGCATTTTAAGAAGCGTAATTTTTGATTTTTCCTTTTTAAATACGTCTACCTGACATACTTTTTTTATTGCCAGACATTTTTCACGTTGCTAACTATGTGCCAGACGCGATTTTAAGTTTTATTTTTATAAAAATTTCAAAGCATTTTAGAATGTCTGTAATTTTAATATTATGTTATTTAAATATAAGAAAAACTGAAAATGAATTTGCCAGACATTAATTCGATTGTTAAGTCTTGAATTAAAATGATAAAGTATTGCAGTATGATGAAGCATTGCATTTTAAGAAGCGTAATTTTTGATTTTTCCTTTTTAAATACGTCTACCTGACATACTTTTTTTATTGCCAGACATTTTTCACGTTGCTAACTATGTGCCAGACGCGATTTTAAGTTTTATTTTTATAAAAATTTCAAAGCATTTTAGAATGTCTGTAATTTTAATATTATGTTATTTAAATATAAGAAAAACTGAAAATGAATTTGCCAGACATTAATTCGATTGTTAAGCCTTGAATTAAAATGATAAAGTATTGCAGTATGATGAAGCATTGCATTTTAAGAAGCGTAATTTTTGATTTTTCCTTTTTAAATACCTCTACCTGACATACTTTTTTTATTGCCAGACATTTTTCACATTGCTAACTATGTGCCAGACGCGATTTTAAGTTTTATTTTTATAAAAATTTCAAAGCATTTTAGAATGTCTGTAATTTTAATATTATGTTATTTAAATATAAGAAAAACTGAAAATGAATTTGCCAGACATTAATTCGATTGTTAAGTCTTGAATTAAAATGATAAAGTATTGCAGTATGATGAAGCATTGCATTTTAAGAAGCGTAATTTTTGATTTTTCCTTTTTAAATACGTCTACCTGACATACTTTTTTTATTGCCAGACATTTTTCACATTGCTAACTATGTGCCAGACGCGATTTTAAATTTTATTTTTATAAAATTTCAAAGCATTTTAGAATGTCTGTAATTTTAATATTATGTTATTTAAATATAAGAAAAACTGAAA